AGGCTGGGTGCTTGTGGTCGCGGGTTTGCGGCTGGCTTGTCTCCCACTTCCTTTCATTTGTCTCCCACTTCCTTTCATTTGTCTCCCACTTCTTTTCATTTGTCTCCCACTTCTTATCATTTGTCTCCCAGGCTGGGTGCTTGTGGTCGGGTTTCCGGCTGGCTTGTCTCCCACTTCCTTTCATATGTCTCCCACGTGCATTCATTTGTCTCCCACTTCTTTCATTTGTCTCCCAGTTCTTTTCATTTGTCTCCCACTTCTTTTCATTCCCCAAACAGTTTACTGTTAGGGGTTCTCAATGCTTTAAAGAATGGTCGCCTTGGTGCTGGATGGTCTGGTCGGGTTCCCAGCCGGCTTGTCTCCCACTTCCTTTGTCTCCCAGTTCTTTTCAGTCGGGGTTCCCGGCTGGCTTGTCTCCCACTTCCTTTCATTTGCCTCCCAATTCTTTTCATTTGTCTCCCAGGCCACTTCCTTTCATTTGTCTCCCACTTCTTTTCATTGTCTCCCAGGCTGGGTGCTTGTGGTCGGGTTCCGGGCCGGCTTGTCTCCCACTTCCTCTCATTTGTCTCCCACTTCTTTTCATTTGTCTCCCAGGCTGGGTGCTTGTGGTCGGGTTCCTGGCTGGCTTGTCTCCCACTTCCTTCATTTGCCTCCCAGGCTCGGTAGGCTGGGTGCTTGTGGTCGGGTTCACTTCCTTTCATTTCTCTCCCAGGCTCGGTGCTTGTGGTCGGGTTCCCGGCCAGCTTGTCTCCCACTTCCTTTCATTTGTCTCCCACTTCTTTTCTGCTTGTGGTCGGGTTCCCGGCCGGCTTGTCTCCCACTTCCTCTTATTTGTCTCTCACTTCTTTTCATTTGTCAGCCACTTCTTTTCATTTGTCTCCCAGGCTGGGTGCTTGTGGTCGGGTTCCCGGCCCGCTTGTCTCCCACTTGCTTTCATTTGTCTCCCGGTTCTTTTCATTTATCTCCCAGAAATGCTTCATTTGTCTCCCAGGTCCGTCATGCCATGTAGCATTTCTATTCATTTGTCTTTGTCACTGCTAATTTCCGCCCTTTTCCGCTGGCCATGCAGCATTTCTATTCATTTGTCCCCCAGGCTTGTCACTGGTGGTGTCCGCCCTTTTCCGCTGTTTCTATTCATTTGTCTCCCAGGTCTGTCACTGTAGGCGTCCGCCCTTTTCCGTTGGCCATGTAGCATTTCTATTCATTTGTCTCCCAGGTCTGTCACTGCCAGTGTTTTGTCTCCCAGGTCTGTCACTGCTGGTGTCCGCCCTTTTCGTCGGCCATGCAGCATTTCTATTCATTAGTCTCCCAGGTCTGTCACTGTTGGTATCCGCCCTTTTCCGCTGGGCATGCAGCATTTCTATTAATTTGTTTCCCGGGTCTGTCACTGGTGCTGCCGTTCATTTGTCTCCCATGTGACTTCTTTCTTTTTGTCTTTCAGGTTTGGTGCCTGCACTGCTGTTTTCTGCCCTGTCCGCTGGAACAGGTTCGCCTGTCAAAGGTTCTTGCTCCTTTGCAAGGGGTGCGTGACTGTCTCCGGGATTGCATTCCTGCCACACTGTGTAACTCTCTCAGCTTCTCGGGCAACCGTTGGATGAATGACCGGATTGGATTTCGGCGGCGTGGCAGCGATCTCTCTATTCAGTTGGGGCGGAGGGCGTATGTCAGGCACCAAAAATCAATTTCATGTCACATCCTTCGCTCCTCATGCTTTTGTTTCTTGTCCTCACGTGGTCAGCTCCCCGCTGACTGAGCAGCATGACCAGCATCATGTTCGCGCTTGAAGAATAATTCCCCAAAAGGTTTACTGTTAGGGCTTCTCACTTCTTTCTTAAGATGTGTCCCCCCGCTCTGTACTGCTGTGTCCGTCTCTGCCTTGCAATCCTTTACATTTATCTCCCAGCTCTGGACGTCGCAAGCTCTAGTTTCGATTTTGAAAAACACAAACTGTTTGGGGTCTACGGTGGTGTAATTAAAATGATAATTGCACGTTTATTACTGTTATTGGGAAGACAATGTCAACCTAGTTTGTACATGGTGAAGGACTCAGTCTGAACCAGCTGGCCACGCAGCCAAGCAGGTTCTCAGCTTGGACAGGAGATTCGTTTCTGACCTGAAAATGACAAGCTTTGCTCAGACCCTTTCTGAGAGGATAGTTCCCCGGGGCATTGCGGAGGCGCCACGATTCTCCATTTGCTTTGCTCTTTAGTGATCCCTACTAGGGGGAGGTCGCTTCTAGGTTGGAGGCCATCGCTATTAGGTTGGAGGCCATCGCTTCTAGGTTGGAGGCGATCGCTATTAGGGTGGAGGCCATCGCTTCTAGGTTGGAGGCCATCGCTATTAGGGTGGAGGCCATCGCTTCTAGGTTGGAGACCATCGCTATTAGGTTGGAGGCCATCGCCTCTAGGTTGGAGGCCATCGCTATTAGCTTGGAGGCCATCGTTTCTAGGTTGGAGGCCATCGCTATTAGGTTGGAGGCCATCGCTTCTAGTTTTGAGGCCATTGCTATTAGGTTGGAGGCCATCGCTACTAGTTATCAATGTTGCTACGTTTTTACAAGGAAGAAGAACTGGAAGCGCTCTTCCCAGATATCGCTCATGCCCGGTTACGGACTGCACGGTCCATGTCAAAAGCTTGTGTTTGTCCAAAGCACCCTGTTGCTTGTCTTTATCATCCTGCAGGGAACAACAAAAGGCACTTTCATTTGTTCCTCACACTTGCATGCAGCAATCACATCATCCAAGGCCGGATCAGAAACTTTGGGTCGGAAGCAACTAGAAGATGAAGAGGACTCAGCCTTGATAAATTGATTTTAATCATAACTCCACAACGGCAACGCTTGTTTCAAACCTGCTCCTTGACAGGAAGAGACACCTCTTGCCCGAACGAAAAGTGTAGCTTCACCCGTGCCCAAGCCCAGCTGCAAAGAAAGGGCTTTACCTGAATGTCCCAAGAATTGCGACCCTGCCAAAACCTTTCTGCAAAGCAAGGTTCT